TATAACTATAGTATAATATACTCCAAAACCCTATTCTAATTGTTGAGGCCCCTACGTTAGAACTGTAAGTGGACACTGTTGATTTGTCTGACCCCCGAATAGCGGCCGTTTGCCAGGCACTGCTTAGCTGTGTTTGGCGCCTGGATTAGTAGTGGTCATGCTCGTGTAGCAACAATAATGAGAACCCGACCCATGTCACTAGGAGCATATTGGCTTGTCGTAGCTCCATTGGCGCTGTTACGGATGGTGGTATCTGAAAACTCTCTCTAGCTGTCTATCTATCTATCTGTCTGTCTGCCTGCCTGCCTGTTTGTCTGTCTGTCTGTCTGTCTGTCTGCCTGGCTGTCTGTCTGTCTGTCTGTCTGTCTGTCTGTCTGTCTATCTCTCGATCTCCCTTGGGGCTTGCGGCTTCAGGCTTATTGTCAACCGAATGATTTCAACGGCAAGTACGGGTTACAAAGCTTGAAACTCATCGTCCTGATGTGCTAGAGGTAGGCGTTTTGTAGGTGCCAGCTCTGGTCATGCTTTTTAAGTTCTAGTGTTTCCAACTTTGGGGTAAAACCCTAGGCCTGGAAAGCCTTAAACCAGAACCAGGAAACCCGAAACCTAACTTCTAAAATCCCAGAAAACCTTAAGCCCGAAACCGTGTTGCAGTAGCCCAGGCCTTGCTATTGCTGCGAGTGGTTGCGCGTTTTTTCGATGCCGTGGCCGCGCCTCTTGGCCAAGAAGCTGCTTTGTGATTTCCCGGGCCTACATGGTCTTGGGGTTTAGGGTTTAGGGTTTAGGGTTTAGGGTTTAGGGTTTAGGGTGGGCCTATATGGTCTTTGGGTTTAGGGTTTAGGGTTTTGGTTGAGGATCCCTTTCCCCAAGGCTCCGTGTGCCTACAAAGTATATACTTAAGCCTCAGAAGCTTCCCTATATAGGTACCTTTAGGGTTGATCGGTCGCTGGTAGGTTCGAGGTTCTGGTCTAGGCAATTCTTGTTCGGAACTTGCTCAATTGGTCATGTTCGTTGGATTGGTGGGCAATATCTCCAACACTAAGCGGCAGAGGAGTTGGCCCATATTCTGGGGGCCCGAAACACAGCATACTGGACATATTTGGGCTTCTAGGGACGCAGTCCCTAAACGCTAAACCTAAACCCTTGAGGGTGCTGAGGAGTTGATGACCAGGGCCGGAGGCCCAAAAGCAAAACCCGCAAACCCCTAAACCCTAAACCCCTAAACCCCTAAACCCCTAAACCCTAAACCCCTTAACCCTAAACCCTAAACCCTTAAACCCTAAACCACTAAACCCTAAACCCCTTAACCCCTAAACCCCTAAACCCCTAAACCCCAACCCCCTAAACCCTAAACTTGTTCTTCAACCGAAGCTATCCGACATCCCTTCGACGGAAAGCATGCTTTGAACCAACACCCTGAGGCGTGCACCGCAAACTCCATATAATGTAGAGGCCTTAATCATTACCTACACTATTTCCCTTACCATCAAGGGACAGATATTTTAAAGCTTTTGGGTTATTTTGATGCTAAGGGTTTTGGGGGTTCCTTAGTATAAGTATAGTAGAATATACCACCCAAAAAAAACCCTGGACTAATTGTTAATTAAGGCTTCTACATTATACACCCATCAGCAGAGGTTCTTCCGGTTCTCTGAATCCTTCTCTTCCCCGCTGTTGAAAAACTGGTTCAGTAGAGAACAGGTCACAGAATTCCTGCAAGAGCTGCCCGGCCAGACCTAACCCTAAACTCTGAACCTAGGACGCTAAAGCACTAAACCCTAGGACCGAACCCGTAGCGCTGTGGTTGCTGAACCTTAAGAGGCTTCCTGGTGGTGATGGAGCAGCACTCAGGGCCAAGGCGGCTGGGGCTTGTTTTTCTCCGGATTTCTTGAGGGTTCTTCTGGAAAGGAAGGTGTATTCCACCTACCTTTTATGACCTGCCACCTACTGTCTACTGCCTACTACCTCCTGGCAACTACATAAGACAAAGCACCTACTATAGGACAGGGCTTAGCATTTTCGCTGGGACGGTGCAGGTACCAATGCTGCCTACAAAGTGTTCATCCCAGTAGAGCCTGTAGCCGAAAAAACCCTAGCTTTACAGGGTGCCATATTATGGTTTCTATATATACGACTTAAAATGGCAGGTGTGTCGGGGGCCATAGGAAGTGAGAAACCCTAAACCCTAAACCCAAAGGCCCATGCCCAGATTATCAAACCTCAAGACCAAGACCCGAGCTTTACACTCGAAGACCTACCCAGGCCACGCTGAAGCCCGAAACCCTAAACCCTAAAAAGTACACACCCTAAACCCTACGCAAAATAACATGACCGAATGACCCCTAGGGCTTTGAGGACTCCTAGGTTCACGTTTGTGGTCATGCTATTTCTGAGGTTTTTGAGCTATTATCAGCCTTAGGGAAAACAGATATTCCAACAGCCAGAGACCGTAAACCCCCCTAAACCCTAAACCCTAAACCCTAAACCCTAAACCCAGAAGCGCCTGACCCCACCCGAACGCTGAGTTTGACACGGTTTAGGGGTTAGGGTTTTAGGGTTTAGGGTTTAGGGTTTAGGGGTTTAGGGTTTAGGGTTTAGGGTTTAGGGGTTAGGGGTTTGGGGTTAAGGGGTTTAGGGTTTAGGGTTTAGGGTTCAGGGTTTAGGGGTTTAGGGTTGAGGGTTTAGGGTTTAGGGGTTTACGGTTTAGGGTTTAGGGTTTACACACCTCCGGTTAGGCACTGAGCGCCGCAGCTACGCTGGAGACCCCGTGCCAGGTCCGTTTGTTGAAGGTTTTTTTGTTGGTTTAGGAAGTGAAAGGCGTAGGGGGTCTGGGGACATGGGTATAGGATTAGGGTTTGGGGAACTACGAACTTTAGGGTTTGGGGTTGAGGGTCAGGCTTGCATTTTTTATCCAGGTAGGCCTTTGGGACATTTTATATTTTCCCTTATTGGGCTTCAGAGGATCTTATTTACGAATATTTTTCAGAGGCTTTGAGGGGCCAACCTAGTTATGTTGCAGACTGCGGGGATTGAAGGGTCTACAGCTGGCCATCAGGGGGGGATCTGCCGGAACCCTAAACCCTAAACCCTAAACCCTAAACCCTAAACCCTAAACCCTAAACCCTAAACCGGAGTCCTGCTGGTCATGACCCGGGTCTCCCCCAAACCCTCGACCCTCAAACGATTGAAGAAAAAAGCGCCGGAAGGAGGGCCTCCTAAAGCCTTACATGGCATAACCCCAAGGGTCCATGGTACCGAAATAATAGATATGGGAGTTTCAGAAAATTAGGGGTACCTTATTTTGGGGTCCTTATAACAGGGATCCTATTATTTAGGGTACTATACTAGGGTCCCCTATTTTCGGAAACCCCCATATCTCGGCCTTAAAGTAGTCCCTGTTAGGGTACGTTGGGGCCAAAGTATCTACTATTTGGGTACATGGAACCGTAGGGTAAGATAATCCATACGGTTGATGATCTAAATCCTGCAATACCTGACCTTAAACTACGGGAATTACGGTATATTCCTTATCATGGGTAATTCAGGAGTTATATCATCAACAGTATAACCCATATGACCCAGGTTCTATGTCTTGTTTAGGTAGGTCTTTAGGTCATTAACGTGTTCTCGGATGTTCTGGGTACCTTTGTTTTAGGCTTCCGGTGGCTTAAAGTTTAGAGATGGGGCTTTAGGATATAGAGTTTAGGGCTTTACGGTTTAAGCTCTCGGTCAGTCTGACGATTCAGCAGGACAGGTTCGAACCTTGCCGTACCTGGGAGGCAGCGCTTATCGCTGCGTATGTGCACCACAGTGGGGCCCTCAGCTACGGCATTATAGTGCTTTTGATTCATTACCCAAAGGCTCCATGTACCTTTATAGTAGATACTTAGGCCTTAAAGGGGTCCCTATGTAGGTACTTTGAGGCCTAAGTACCTACTATAAAGGTACATGGAGCCTTAGGGTTATAGGGTTTAGAGTCGTGTGATGTTTTTGAGAGTTTGAAGTTTGGACAGCGCAGCGAAATGTGTTGCAACATAGCCGTAGCTCTATACCCCAGAGGGTCCGAGTACCAAAATAGTAAGGTTTTAGGTCCCCAAATCCATACTCTGAATGGTTTTTGGACCTTGAAACCCTACTATTTGGGCATTTGGACCCTTAGGGTACGAGAAACCCCATGAACAGACTTTAGTCCGTAGAACCCACAGGCCGTAATATAGGGGCCTTAATAATCAGACTATGGTTTGGGGTATATAATACTATAGTTATAACGAGGAAGCCCAACACCCTGAACCCTAAACCCCTAAACACTAAACTCTATACTTGAACTATGATAAGGACCCCCCCGCCCCCCAAGAAACCCTAGTCTAATTCTGAAAGCCCCTACATGAAACCCCTAAGTTACAAACTCGGCTTTGACATCTTTGGCAAGGGTCCATGGGGCTCTGTGGCAGCCTGCGAGCTTCGTGTAGAAACCATCGCACTTACAAGTTATAGTTATTTTTAGGGTTTGTTTATGGTTTAAAAGTTTAGGGTTTAGGGTTTAAAAGTTTAGGGTCCAGGGTTTAGGGTTTAGGGAAATCCTTATCAAAAGCAGAATATACTACAATACTGATATGCCACTCAAATGCTAATCTGCTTGCTAGCCCCCGCCGTTGTATGCAGGTATAGACTCAGAAGATGTCTAAGTTACCGGATCAGCCATATCTTTTACAAGCTTCAGTATAGCCCTCGTCTCCTTTTCCAAACGTTGAGCATCTAATTAGTTTCTGGTTAAGGGTTTACCCTAAGGGTCCAAGTATATACCCAAATGGTAGGGTTTCAAGGTCCAAAACCCACTCAGAGTATGGATTTTGGGACCTAAAACCTTACTATT